TCAGGATTTTTTTCAGTGTATATATATAAATAATTTTTTTTATATAAACGTGAACGATCCGTATTCAAATATATATCGATCAATAACCCACTTATTGATCGAAACATTACATTATAGGGAATCGACCCCTATCGATCTTCGAGCTCGACTGTCGGCGCGTCAATCCGACAGCGACTTAAGCGGTCTATATGCGCGTGATTCCACGACTCCCTCTGTCTCCCACGCGTTTGACGCCCTCCACCTGACTATAATTCCTATCGAGCATATTATCCGCGCTCCCGGAGCGCCCGGTATTTCTGCGGCGCGTCTGCGTGTACACCATGTCGCCATGGGACGACGCGCCATGCGTGCGGATTTCGCGCGCGCGATATCTTCACCTGGCCGCAATCTGACGTTTGTGTGTGCGTGTGTGTGTTTGTAGGTATATACGTCGCCACATAGCCCCTCTACATGTATGTATACGTGACATGTGCGAAATACCGCATGCGGAATATTTACCAGAACCTACCTCAGATGTTTGGACCCCTTAGGGCAGCGCGCGTATCACGAAACCTGCTCCAGACAACGGATTAACTCGGTTTAATTCCCTCGAGAACGAGCAAAACAACGTATCATGTTCAACGGTAATTGTAGATACATAAAAGACGAGAACATTGTCGCGTTAAACCGCTCGAGGGCGAGCTTGCTCCGTTTAATCGTGTTAAATGAAAAACCATCAATTCCATTTTTTTAAATTTCTTTATTGTAATAGATAATAATTGAAACTACCTCGAAAATTAATTGATCGACGAAAGTGATGAAACTGGATTCTTCAATTGAGATTTCTCGTAAAGAGAGAGAATTTTTCTCACTATTGTTTATTGTAACAATGAGAGAAGACATAAGAAGAAGAAAGATAAGATGGTATCGCGCTCTGCTATAAAGAATAAAAGATGTTCAGATATTTTTGTTAACATATACACCCATTATTTAGCAATGAAATTGCTCGTAACAATTTCAGTCGAAGTTTCCATGATGTGGAAATGTCCGACTGGGCAATTACATTGTTCCGACGACTAGTAGAGAAACCGCAATAATAGGTTGACAACTTTCCTCCGCACGGATATTTATCTCGGAATTACCATATCACGTTCCCTTGAGGACTGCATAGGTAAAGCCGGGCGCAATCTAGAATCATTGAGCCAACGAATTGGTGCAAAGTGAGATATATATTCGTAATATCTACCTTTTTGAGCGCAATATTCTCTCGCATATTAAATAAATTTTCGATCAGCCGGTAATAATTAACAATTGCGTTTAATATCCGACAATAAATTAATTCCAACGTTATAATAAATTTTGCAAGAATAATAAATATACATATACTTAATGTACGATTACAAATAATAATCGATAATTAATCTCTGCATTTTAATAAATATTCGTATGTGCACGTGATACGAATTATAATAAACCTTAATTAATTTCTCGTATATATAAAGCACACATTCTGAATACATGTATATATAATAATGGATAAATTCAGCCTCTAAACTTGGCCATCTTTCGCTATTTTATTATTTATTTGATTATTTATTTTAATATTTTAATTTACGCGTTTAGAAGCGCATTTTATACATATATATATCGCAGTGGTTTCGAGGGTTTACCTGGCGGAAACGTGTGTCCTATCGTACACGAACCACGGGGGGTGTTTCCGATCTTTGGCTCTCATGTAGGGTGTCTCGCGATCGATCACCCCACAAAGGGGTGGAAGGAGAGGATGAGGAACGTCAAATTCACCACCGACGCGGCGTGACTCAACCAGACGCGACTCATGCATAATTTATCTAGGCTTAATTAGTCGCGAAGAAGGAAACAGAGGGAGAGAAAAGCAGAAAAATACTTTCCATTACATAAATATCCGTCGCTGCCGCTAAGTAGACCGCGTACATAAATTTGTAAATGACTTGAGAGTCTCTCTCTTCGTCTCTTTTACTCTCTCGTCTGCGGCTCGTGATGTAGATTTTGCTAGAGCGAACGTTAACAGGCCGCCGTCTTCCCTGGATTTGTCTCCGTTCGATCGGAATAAATACGGGACGACGGGAGATGACTTTAACTAGGGAACTCTCGCAACTGTCTCTACTCGAGAGAGTTTGCGAAGCTTCAGGTGTGTCGTAGACTAGCTCGCGATGAGAGACGTGTACTTTTCTTGCGTATGTTATAATGCCGGCTTAGAGGTTGAAACTAGTTTGATGTATCTTGCTAAATATCTCACTGAAACTATACAAGCGAAGGGACGTTCGAAACACGAGAAGTGTTTTACAACTGCGTGCATTTAGATTTTTTGTTCATTTAAATGGGGAGGAACTGGGACTAGAAAATTATTTTCTAATTACGTCTACAGTTTTTTTTTTTCGAAAAATAATATATTAGTTTACATCCGAAAACACAAATATGGCGAATTAACTTTAGGAAAATGTGATAATAAAGTTCAATAGATTTTTTTAATTTAAATGAAGAGGGACAGGGAGAAGAAAATTCTTTTCAATTCTAAATTTTTTTCGAAAAATAATATATTCGTTTATACATCCGGAAAAATAAAAATTTTAAATTAACTTTAGGAAAATGTGATAAAAAAGTTCAATAGATTTTTTAAATTTAAATGAGGAGGGACAGGGAGAAGAAAATTCTTTTCAATTCTAAAGTTTTTTTTTTTTTTTCGAAAAATAATATATTCGTTTATATCCGGAAAAATAAAAATGTTAAATTAACTTTAGAAAAATATGTTAAAAAACTCCAATAGATTTTTTAAAATTTAAATGAGGAGAGACAGGGAGAAGCAAATTCTTTTCAATTCGCGTCTAAAGTTTGTTTTCGAAAAATAATATATTCGTTTACATCCGAAAAAATAAAAATGTTAAATTAACTTTAGAAAAATGTGTTAAAAACTCCAATAAAATGCATATTATGACTCGTGTCTTTTTACATCGATACATTTACTAAAATATATATCCGTGATATATCTAAAAACCGTAAAACCGTGGAAAGAGCGGTTGTAAAAATTGCCTTACAAGATCACTTTAAGATCATACTCTCTCGAAGGATATTCGCGATGAGGGAGAAATTTCCGATAAACATATACACACACGTACGTACACAGATGCAATCGAGAATCACTCTCGGTTATATATTCATCGCAGAGAACTTTACTGTCGAGTGGCTCTCTTTCAAAGGTTCTCTCGGCATAAAAAAAGGTTCGTTTACTAGCGATGATGCAAGCAGGTAACTGTCGACATTACGACACGTGTCTCTCTACCCGAGTTTAAAGCCGAGTAGCTTTTACCCAAGCCAAGAGGGGCTCTAGAGGCTTACGTTTTCAACGAACGACGTCGAGGACGGGTGCACAGCCAGCCGCATTCGTGCATTCGGGCTGATTTTATTCACCCGCTAGAACCGTAGCGGGTATACATCCGTTTGATATACGGCGTGATGTAAATTTCTAGGTGGAAATCGATATCAAGCTCTCGCCGACTAGTATTTTAGACTATAGGTTTTTTATCGGTTTTTACATAGGATCCGCGCAAGAGCCACTTTGCGCTAAACTTTTCTCTGTGTCGAAGGTTGACTTTAATTCTTTTCTTTTCTTTAAGAAACCCTTATTTTTGCGCGTAGATACATCTTCGATATATCTCGCCCTGCACGAAGCTTTGGCTCGATACTCTTTATTTACGGACGGTTCGCTCGACCGATTAGACCGCCGCGATAAACTCGCGCAAATGCATCGTCAGCATTCGCGTTAAAGGAAGGAAAAATAGAAATGTATGGCGAAGGTTATACGGGAGTGATTTTTAAAAAATACATATTCAATATAACGCGAATTTCTCTTCGAATATTAGTTGGCTAAAATTTTGCAAATTTATTCTAAATACATATAAAATGCTTTATATTTTGTTTTATATTTATATTATATTTATAATATAATATAATATATATATAAAATATAATAAAGTATAATGTTATAAATAAAAATCTATTTTAAAAATATTTTTTTAGTATATTTTATTAAAGGGTGAGAAGAAAATATATTGTTGTCGCACATTTTTATTTCACACGCATTAATCTTAGCGTGATCATCATAGATCGTCAAGTTTTATTAATCCGAGTTGCACGGTTCTCGTGATCATTGATTTATTTGCCGATCGCGTTTCTCGATATTAAGATCGGTTTACCTATACATGCACGACACGTGCATTATAACTCCGTATCGAATTTCATTTCCAGTTGTAGCCGGATGATTCATTAGCACGTCGATGAAAATGAAGAAGAGGGGATATCAAAACATATCTTTAGGTCGCGCGGGTTCGTTTTCAAACATTAATACTTCCCGCTGAAAAGAGAGAGAGAGAGAGAGAGAGAGAGAAAACGACGGGATCCCGTTGCACGAGAGTAATCGACCGGAAAAGATGCATCGAAAATTTCTTACGTTATCGTATTCACGTTTGAAGTTTCAACGTGATTTGCGATTTTCGCTTTGAGAACTGTTCCTGCTTCGATTAGATTTTGGTTAGAGGAAATCATGTGGAATAATCCCACATACTTATGTTCCCACATAACATTTATACATTATTAAATGCAGTAAAAAGATTTAATATCATTAAAATAAATCATGCACACATGTATGATACAATAATCACTCAACATGAGCAGATAAAATAGATAGGTAGATATATAGAGATCTGGTTGAACGATTCGGTAAGAGTTCACTCGACTCTCTCCGCTCGTCCCAATAAAAGTCCTGATTAATGCAAATTAACCGGAAATTTCCATTTACCAGTACAAAGTGAACTCTTCCAGTTCCTCTGTCATGACTCATAACTTTGAAAAGCACGACGACCGCTCTCTCGAGTTCGCGCGGTACATACAATTCGCGTTTTCGACATCGTATATATTTCGCTAAAACCTTCGGTTTAGCGGATCTAGAACGATGGATAATTCATCGCGCCACTTTCTGTTCGCAGCTTCGACGAGACGTCGATGGACAGCTGCATATTGGCGACCGTCGACGAGGGCCGGCGAATCGGCGACTTGTCAGGCGAGTCGATGAAGGACGGTAACGAGGTGGAAGTGACGTCATTGGAGGAAGCCAAGTCGGTCATAGCGGCACTCAGGGCGAGGCAACGGGCGCAAACCCACCAGATGCTCGCCTGGCGGAGGACCCTTAAATTGCAGGCAAGTTTTTCAATTACGAAGAATTTCTACATGCGAAAGGCAATCCCATTCCACGCCTCTCATCGTCTTCTTCGATGAAGAAACCGGCCAAGGGAATCGCGGAGGAACGATCGATCAAAGGCTATTACTTCTGAAAACCATAAAACACGCGCTCTCGGTTCGAACCGATGTTACGGACAGTGAAATATTAGATATACGGTGATCCATTTAAATGCGACTGGCTACGTATATTTATACGCCGCATAGTTTGAGGCAGACCAGAAAATGTTCTAAATAAACGTCGGGCGCAGTTTCACCGAGTATATCGCTGTCAATCGCATTCGGAAGCTCGATTCGCTAGAAATGTTTTATCTCTTTGTATGTAAAAGATATTAAATGTCATTCCGAAGCATTCTCTTGAAAACATGAAATTTTTTTAAATAAAATAAATATAAAGAACGATTAAAATACAATTCTTCTCGATTTCAAGCATATATACTGTACGCATTATACTCGTTTATGGCGCTGATGCAGAAAGACTTTCGGATTGTCATTGCCATCGCGAAAGATTTCCCGTGCACTTTCGAGACACAAGCTGAAGCATCTCGTGACATCCTACGATTTCGCGTTTGACTTCGCGTGACTATAGACAATTCCCTGTTTGCCGGGTAGCACTGTGCAAAAAAAAAAAAAAAAAGGAACTCCCCCACTAAATTCGTCGGAGAGATCCGCGGGGGAATAATTGCCACGAAATGATCCTCTTTCTCGGGCTGTCCGACTCGGGGAAGTATATACTACTGGCTGGAATGGTCGATGCAGATTATGGATAACGACCTTCCGTGTACTTTTGTCGAATTTAAACGAGGGACTATTAATACGTTGTGGTGTATTCATTTCGAGGCACCCTTCTAATGTGTCTACGCACGAATATAGTAAAACCATATGAATGGAAAGATGCGATTTGGAAAAACTCTAATTTTTTTACATCCTTATTCTATTTATTTTTTCCTCCAAAATTTTTTGTTTTATTAATATACAACAATCTATTAAATGAAATAGTTTAACACATCGCGCCTTTAAATATTATCTATACACACACATATATATATATATGTGTGTGTGTGTGTACAGTCATAAAATTATATAATTTTTAAATAATTTTACTGCCTAATAAATTAAAGCGATTACTTAAATGTATTCTTCTCTTATCTCAAATGGTATACTTTTTATACGAAAGATTAATCGAGAACGTAACGTTTAATTATCTCCTTGAAAAATATATGCATTCTTAATTTGCGGAAATTATAGATCGAATCTCGTTCTTTTTATCTAACAGTATATTTACGACACCGTGACATGAAAACATATTAGATTAGTCGATTAAGCTCCTAGTTACAGAATAATTTCATTACATAGCTTTCTTTTCGTATTCTTTCACGAGTTTAAAAATACTCATTGTCCAGAGAATTAGCTCGCTTTTTCCTCCATAAGCAGAATCTCTCCTTTAGAAGCATTAACCGGTCATTCACACAGTGCGATTTTCATCAGGGAAACGCGTATCACAAAATTATTTTCATTTCACGCTCGCAGCGCAATAGCACCTGGTCGTCTTATACGAAGTGCCATTTATAGCACAAAAGCGAGAATAATGGATTCTGGCGCCTCCTCTTTTGAAGAAGAGGAGAGGAGACGGAAGGAAGAGACGCGAGATGCAAAACGGTAGCCGGATACACCCGGACATACCCGTATATATACCGTTGGGCAAACACGCAGCATCACCGACAGACGGAGAACGCACCGTATATACTGGCATAGTCATAGTAGCGAGGGCATATACCCCGGCAAAGCAAACAGAGACCAGACTCGAGACACGCCGCGCGTTCGTGCAGATGCGAAAAACAGATGTGTAAAAATGCGATCACCGCGATATATACCGTACGCGGTTCCGGTAAGCGATATCGTTTCGAACGGTATCTCCTCGATCGGGAGAGAAACGTCGGGACGATATCGCGTGAAATTATCGAATCGTACGGGACGAAGAAATTAATTAACGGCACTAAGTAAATCTTAATAATAATAATAATAATAATAATAATAATAATAATAATAATAAAAACGAGCGGCGATTGCGCTCGCTAATTAATTATTTACTACATATGCGATGGCGCGAAAGATCCCTCGGCTCACGCGATCGCTCCGTTATTAATTATCCTTATTAATTATCGATGCGAATATTGCGTGTATAAAATGCCGTTTATTCGCGCGAATTAATATGCGAAAATAGAAAAAAAAATGTGTTTTCACGCTTCACGCATTATCGTAACGATTTCGCAGGAGGACCTGGTGGCTCGATTAACGCGAGAAAAGGCCGAACAACTACGGACATTATCGTCGCAGCTTCTGCTGTTCGAGTCCAGACTCTGCAGGAAGCAGAAGGAGATCGAAGCCAGTCTAAGTCAACGAGAATCAATTATTCTACGACAACAGAGGGTGATTCGACAATTGCAGAGCAGATTGGCGGAGAGGAGCACTGGTACTAGAGATTCGCCACCCTGCGACGCCCTGGACAGATTGGATAGTTTGGGTGATAGCGATAGTGCAGTGGTGCTAGAGGAAACCGCTGATGATCCTGCTCCACCGAGGTATTTTATACGGTTTTTTTTAAATAATTAATAAATAAATAATATTTATGTAAAGTGTTATTGCGCGTATTCGAACATACACGAAGTGGATTCGACGAGCTTAAGAATGATTTAAGAGAGAATGTAATATTAGAAGATGAATTTGTAAATGTGAGCTAAAAATGTCAGACATTAAAAGATGTACTTTCTTTATTTTAAAGAAACACGAATTTTTTATTTGTGATATATTTATATACATATTTATTCATATATTTTTTTAAATAGACATTTATGTGATAGTTTGAAAATAATGCTACGATTTATATTATATTATTGTGGGCAAAACTAATTTCAAGCAAAGGATTCGTGCGATAAGAGTCGATAAAATTTTATTTATATTTTTATATTGTGCTGTGCAATATAGAAAATATTTAAAACATCAAAAAATGTATATATGCATTTTTAAATATATACATATATCTATATATTTGATTATAAATAATATTATAAACTGTAGTATTGTTTTTAATATTACCATGAATTTTTATTTAAAAAAAGATATGAATAAATAATAGAAATAGATATATCACAAATTAAAGATATTTATGCATTTTTAAAATAAAGAAATTATATCTTTTATATAATACATTTATATATATATATATATATATATATATATATATGTATATATAAAAGGATATATTTTAAGATATAAAATTAAAATGAAAAATTCTATTAAATTTTTCCGTGAATTATAAATTGTTCAAAAAGAGTGAGCTTTAGATCCTAATTCCGATTTTTTTGTATTCTACAGATTTCGTTCTAATATCACTGACGTGACTGTGATCCGTTCTGTATCTGATGCGGTGGAGCCGTCGAACAAATATTCGTCGATGCGACGATGCAACGGTTTCCTCAGAAGACCGGAAATCCTGGAAACCGTATATTCCGTGGAAGAGGATGGCGACAGCGAGAATAATCAGGATCCGTCCGAGTCGACGGAAAACTCGGAATACGAAGATAGGAGAGCGAAAAACTTGGGCAACGGAAAAGGCAGACTTCAGGATCTTTATGGCAGTTTCGAGAGGCTGGCACAAGAAACGGATTCCCCGCCTAGCGAAAGACCCAGAGACGAAAGTCAGCAGGCCCAGGTATATAAAAGCGAACGACTTGATGTCTTGTATGCAGCGAATAAGGGAGCGTTCAATTTCAAGAAATAGTTGCGACGTTTCTATAAATTGGAATATTCGTAATCTTTGAAATGTAACTTTAATATAAAATGTAACGCAAATCATATCTCGATTTAAGATATATTTTATTCACATTGATTTTTGTGTTGCTCAGCTTATTGAAAATTATGCTATTGCTTGCATATGTAAATTTATCTTCCCGAAAAATAATCTTTATTTGTGCTTTCAGGTGACATACAATAGGGTAATGAGTAATCACAGATCTGTGACAAAGCCAAAAGACGTGAAATACAAGAGGATAAACAAAGCGAAATCGAAAAGTCTCGAAGAACTCAGAGGACGTCTTAGAAATTGGGTCGAGAAAGGGACTAAGAATTATATGGCTATATCGCTGGATCAGTCATATGCCTGAGCTTACTTTACTCCGTATATGAAAGTATATAAATTATTATTTTACGAACGAGCATAATGTAACTACTGTCAAGTAATGTTTAACGGCTGAAATTTTAATTTTATCCGTAAGATACGCGATTATTAAGAAAAATGGACTTCGTAAAGTCGCTGCGGTATATTTGATTGATGAAATATCATTGTGCTCCATGTGATATTTACTGTAGTATCTCTTCACATTAATTATGCACGTAGGTCAAAGATGAACGGATTCGGCGAGACTTGTGATATGATTTTATTGTATACAAAAGCTAGTTAAGAAGAATTTATTATCTGGCAAAACAAGTAATTAACACTTAAGTGCCATGGTGAAAATGTGTAATCTTATGATATCATGTAAATATTTGTGTATATTATTTGTGAACTTACATACACACAGAATATTTCTGAGAATATTTAATATTTAATATATACGTACATACACACATACAACAAGTTTTTTTTATGATCGATTATTTATTAATATAATTTTTTCAATCGTAAAGTAAATAATATCAGATAAGATAATATTAGATGCATTCAAAAAATGTAAAAAGCAAATAATCTTGTAAGATTAAGAAATTTAGGATTGTGATTGTCTCCACCATGGTACTTATGGGTTAACTTAAAACGTGATACTCGTTTACGGATGAATTTTCAAGGAAACATTTTCAATTATTTTGTTTGTAGACAATTTAAATTTGTTTCTTTATTCTAAAGTTACATGAAAAATACTTTATGCGGCCTAAATTTTAAGAGAGAGATTTGAACTACGAATCTACATATAATTAAATGTATATATTTGATAATATGGAAACACGTGACATGTTTCTGCAAACATGTCTGATGACATCAAAATGAGATACACTTTTTACCATTAAATGGTACTTGTTAATTATTATTACACCTTTGATCGACGGATGTATTACATCATGTTTTGTTATCGAAAATTTTAAAAGACTAAATTAATAAATTTTTCATTTTTATTTAAGAAATTTATTTAGAAATATACTCCAATTTCTCTATCAAACAGGGTCAAGACGCAACAATCAAATTAATCGATACTTTTGATTTGTCAAACAAAAAAAGATCATTGATTGGCTTAACAAGAAATATTCAGCAAAGGTATATATTGAATGAATTGGGCTTTACTAAAATGTTATACAAAATATATACAGCTAGAAACAAACAAGTATGCTATACAAATTTAATGCTCTTGTTAATCTATTTAAACAGATGTTATTTTCTGTGCCTATCTTTCCACAATCAAATATGAGAGCATATAAAACTTCTATCTTGATATTTACTCAACATCTTACGTAAACATAATAATCAGATTATGTAAAGCAAAAACTCGATATTTTTAGTAAAATTTCTGCATACAAAATATAACCTTTTTATCTAATGTGCTTTGCATTAATCCAAAAGGCCTGCAATTAAAATGCAATTGTTCAACTATTGAAAATTCGAACATAATTCTGCCGTTTTATTTTTAAAAATTTCGATAAACTACAAAAAAATTAAATAAAATATATATACATACCTTAAAAACACTCCTATACTCCCATCAAGGCAAAATTTTATAACATTTAGTATATTGTATAAAAATCATAAAATCTACATGTAATTTTACATTAAATGTAAAACTCAAATGTGTGTGTATATGTGTATGCCACGCACGTGAGTACACAAATCGTGTGGCAACATTTTATAAAAAATATAAGCCTTTGTAATCGCACCGTTTATAATAATAATATTACACGCACGCGTATTTTATTATTTCTTTTTTCATAAAATAAGAAAATACGCTCGAAAATATTAACTTTGTGCAAATCGCTTGTGCAAATAAATTCTCCACTTGGGATGCATCTATTTGGCTATTATTATTATACTTTCGAGCAGACAGGTATAAGAAAGCTATCGACAATCCATATTTTTGCAAAATAAAAGAAAAGGAGGGAGAGAATGAATGCCTTTGTGGCAATACCTTTGTAAATAATTAGAAACGTGGATTTATGTAACGTATGTATGTGTATATTGTGTGTATTGTGTATGTGTGTTTACCTAAAGATGTAGATTCTACCATATAATTATATAGATAGACCTATATTATTGAAATAACAAATTGTAATAATATTATATTGAGTCTTATGTTCCTGTTGGACTGATTAACAGTCATTGAGAGATCTCGTGCATAATATAAGTTGCACGCATATTATAGATGAAAGAAAGAATATGAGAATATATATAAATATATATGTATAAATATATGAATAAAAAATATATGTCAAAAGTGTAATGTAATATCGCATCTGTTTAATGATGCAGGAAAAGTAAAATTTTTGAGGTGCGCAGGCAAACCATGTACAATTAAATGTCACATTGGCTTATATCATCATATGAGTATACACGTGCAATGGTGCCCATGTATAGAAAAAAAGAAATCGATAATTATTTTAATTTATATAAAATCAATCATGTGTATACTGTCGCTTTACTAGAAAATGAGTAGACTGCTATTAATATTCTATCACGCAATTGTTTTAATTATTATTAAATCTCCCAAAATATAAATTATGTCGATGGAATATATTGAGAGCAATATATAATTTATTATCAATCCTAACTCTCTCCAATCGTTTCCTCTGGTATGTGTGTATATATATATATATATATATATATATATATATATATATATATATATACACATATTTTTTAAATCACATCTTTGTTTCTGACATTGCGTTTTTTGAAATAAATATTTTATTATTAATAAAAATTATATATATATATATATATTATTCTATTAGAGTAATATATTGAATGTATGTTTTTCATAATGTTAAAAATTTTAACTATGATAAATGCTTTTATATAACTGATCATTTTAGAATTTTCTAATTTTTGGTTTATATTTGAGGCAGTGCAATAATTGCTGAAATTACTGCAGATTTTTAATATCTTTAATATTTTATATCCGAGTTTTTGTGACTTCTGAAATTTATTTTGTTATCTATAATCTATAATATATATGATATAGATTATAGATAATGAAATAAATTTTAGAAAAGTCACAAAAACTCGAATATAAGATATTTAAACAAAATATTAAAAATTGGCAGTAAAGTTTCAGTAACCATTGCGTTCAAATATAAATCAAGAATAATTAGGAAATTCTTAAATAATCAGTCACAATATAATAGACGCATTTATTATAGCTAAAACTGTTTAAATTATGAAATATAAATTCGATGTTACTCTCTAATAGAATAATATATATAATATATATATATATATATATATATATATATATATATACATATATATAACAATATAATTTTTATTAATAAAAAAATATTTTAGTAATCGCAATGTTAGAAACAAACAAAAAAGATATGATTTAAAAAAATAAAAATATGAAAATATATACAAAGATTACAGAATAAACAATTAAATGAATGTAAAAATAGATGTAGAAATGTTAAAAATTTATTGCTTATTAGCTAATAATTAAAATCGCAAAAACGATTCAAAAATTATTTGAACGTTGCAAAAATGCAAATATATATACAATATCGATGCAAAACTGATTAAAATCAAATGTACGCATACTTGATGATGATCAGCCAATAATCGCACTGTCGTACCTTGGCAGAAGAATAACTGATTAACATCACTCGACGCAGAAGCCGAATTAATATCGCAATATCGTTGTTTGTACACAATAACCGCGTTACGACAAATATCTGAATACTTTACGTAAAATACATCCGCGATAATTTCTTGTGATATCAGAATCACGAAAGAGATACAAATACGTAAATAAGATTCGACTTCGAGAGAGTCTACGTCTTCTTCTCACGACACTGTTTCACGAATGACCGCGATTCGAAAATTGTCGTTGCAATATTGCGATTCTCGAAGTATCGAAACAATCGATATATCTCGCGACTCTCGAGGTGTCGAAGCAGCGCAAACTTTTGGCGCGAATATACTTTTTTTTTAAATCTCGCAAAAAACAAGATTATCGATTTTTTCTATTTACTAAAATTTCTCTATTTCAAATTAGTTTTTTTTTCATTAACAGTTAGAATTTCCTTTACACAGCTTTATAAACAAAAAATAAACAAAAGAAAAACAGAATATATATATTATTAATAATATATTTTTTTTTGCTATAGAGGCAATTGCATCACAAGCGAATATTTTTCAAATCTCTATGAGTCTTTGCGAAGGAATATAGCACATGTATACAATGAATTGAAAGATGAAGAATTAAATGATGATGAAAATCTCGTTTTAGTTCATCGTTTATTAAATCACAGTTTTATTCATGAATTATTAAGTGTTTCCGACAAGTTTGTTAAAAAAATATGACAGATCTACTTCGAAACATTTTAAAAGAAAAACATGTAACAATATAACGAAAGTTTATATTAAAAAAAAATAAAGTATGAATGAAAGCTAAATTTATGTGAAAATGTTGAATAGTTCTTCTCTTCATTATTTCTCTATTATAAATCTAACATTTTCGTAAAATTTTACTTAGTAAATTTTTTAAAATGTGTCAAACTTTAAGATATTTAAAATTCACATGCTCAGTATTGTTTAGAATCGATTCTTATTGTTTAGAACATTCCCAATCGAAAAATATATTTATGGAAAAAGCAGAATTCGAAAATCTTGAAATTTGAAGAGAATCAACTTTGACAGTTTTCTTTAAACTATTGTATTTTCTAAAGCGTACAACTACAAGCGAAACGAAAATCACTTCCCACAATTAGAAACGATATTAAATACTCTGTCTTACGACTTAACCCACTAGTCTACCATTTCACCCCTTGTGTACCTTATTTTAATTCTTAAATTTCCATTATGTTTTAAATTTTTATTCGCCGAATTTTTACTATGTACGAAGCGCGCGCTTGTGTTATCTAGTTATTACAAAAATATGATGCGAATATGTTGCATATTTACTTTATATATAATTAGCGACACGTGCTTAATTAATTCCTTGGTGCATAAAATCTGTGCCAGCTTTCAACGTTGACGTTAAATACTGAATATTAAATCGAAATATAAATTAGAAATAATGTAAAATTGATTTAACGATTATTAAGATATTTTTTTCAGGCAAGAAATCCTTGTGGTTGACGTGTTTTAAATCGTGGTCTTCCGCTAATCGTTATGTCAAGACAAAATATTATGGTCGCGATAAGTTAAATAAACTATGTGAGATAAATTCGTACATGTGCACAGTAGCTCATGATTCTGCGAACCTCAATAGCGTACTTACTTCATTGTAATAAGGGTATTATTATATCTCTCACAGGAAAGAGATAGAAAATGTTGAAAGAAAAAATATATATATAATTAATTTAGTTGTTCCAAAGATTATAAAATAATTTTCTATTCTCAATTGTAATATAAAAAATAAAATAAGCTGTATTCTTTTGTGAATTTTAATGTCTTACTCTTTTGGAACCTATATATAAAAGTAATATTCGTTATATCATTTCTTATATATCATTTAGCGCAAACAAAAACAAAACAAGAACAGTAATAATAAAAATAAAAATAACAGAAACAATAAAAAATTTATGCAGATTCAAGAATTGATTCTGCGTCGCATATTTTGACATACGAGTCTGCGAAGGTCGCTCACGTGACAAGTCTCGCGACGTCACTCAACATGCGCACGAAGTGCTGCCGGTTGGGATTTGTGTCTTGTGCTTGCAAAATTCATCTGTATCCGACCACGCTGCGAACACAACCGATTTTTGAGTCCACATCAGTTATACGCATTCATAATTCGAATGTGAGTTTCTTGTAGTAGAAAAATATTGACAGAAAAAGAGTGTCACTATACGAAGATGATCGTGCTGTTTCATGTGTTTTACGTGTTCGGTCAGTACATATACAGGAATTATCGCAACAAGAGATTGCGAGCTTCGTACCGGAGATACAACGATGCGACGATGAAGACAGAGGAAAGCGACGAAGATATGCGCAATGATATCTTGCACAAAGTCATAAAATTCAATCCGCCAGCGTATGTGCAAAGATACCATGCGGTGTGGGACATACTCAAGCATCAATACAATGGAAAAATACGAAAGGTATTAATGTGCTTCGTGTATGTGTACATATTATTTTGTCACTAAATAATTTAACTTTATCTTAAGATATCATTTGATAAACAACAAAATTGTTGTTAGCGCGTATCAATTTCACCATTTTTTCTTTAGGTAGAACTACTAACTGTATAATTGAAATATTTTGTCGACAGGTTGTGGACTTTGGATGTGCAGAAATGAAGTTTGTGTTATATTTGAAACATTTAGAAGGCATTGAAAAGATACTTTGCGTTGACACTGATAAATTAGTTTTAGAAGGGTACAAAAGAAGAGCTCAACCATTTATTGCAGAATACTTGAATCCTCGAAAAACACCACTTAAAATTGAATTATATGAAGGAAGTGTAACATATAATGATCGAAAGTTGGAACAAACGGATGCTGTAATTTGCATCGAATTGTATGTTATATTACATGAATATTAACATAGAAATTATAATTTTATTTTATTTTAATTGTTCTTTTATATCAGATGCTAAAATAATATATGTACACACACATATATATTTTATATACAAATATTTTGTATTCTAGAATTGAGCATATGTATGAAGATGAATTAATGGACCTTCCCTTTATATTTTTGGATACATCCAGCCAAAAGTGGCCATAATAACTACTCCAAATGCAGACTTTAATGTACTATTTCCAAATTTCTCAGGCACCAGACATCCAGATCATAAGTTTGAATGGACAAGGGAACAATTTCAAGACTGGTAAGTAAAGCTTCTTCAAGTTTTGTCAAGCTTATAACTGTGGATAATTCCTTTTGTTTAATATTATTTTGTCAACACAGGGCACAAAACATTGTGGTGAGATATCCATCTTATAGCGTGACATTTCATGGAATTTGTAAGGGACCTAAAGGCACTGAAAATTGGGTGCATGCACACAAATGGCAGTATTTCACCAAATTTCATCGATAGAAGAATGCAACAAAATAATAGGAAGAGATAATATGTTTAAATTAGTGGATGAATATGATTATCCTATATATGATGACAGACGTTCAAACAATGAGAAAGTATTGCATGAAGCGATAAGATATATCACGACAATGTTCTATAATCAAGAAGATCGAGATGAAGGAATAGTTCTATGTGATGTATTAGCTCACTTATACAAACAAAATTACAGTATTACATTAGACGAACTGACTAAAATTCTAAGAGAATCAAATTGGGCTATCAAAGACCGAGAAAACGGACCAATAGTATTAGTTGAGTGTTCTGATACTGAGGATGAAGATGAGATATTTGATATGGATTCTACAGATGAAGAAAACGAAATATCAGAATTCAGTGATGGAAATGAACATTTACTTGAAAATTTGCATACTGAAAACTGGATTGAAGAGGCTAGCATTGTCATACCTGCAAATCACTCTTTTATTCAAGAAAATTCTTATTTATTCGATGGAGATAAATTAGAGTTAGAATATACATTACCTGAAAACACGCATATAACGGACGACGATGATGTTACTGGACATGCAAAGATTAGTAGTATTACAGAACCTTTAACATATACCAAACCAGAATTTTCAAGTGCTTCGACTTGTATGTCTTTAAATGAGATTGAGATGAATGACAGAGTAGAGAGGCTCAATGCTGATACACAATCATTCGACACACCGATAAAATCCAACATTAGTTTAGCATTAAATAATTTGGCCGGCGACAATACAGTAATAGAATCAACTCTCTCACAGATTAAAGATATAAATTTAATAACTGCAGAATCACAAAAAACTACTAATTTTCAACCGTACATGTCTGTTTCAATTTCATCAACGTCGCCACCATTTGTTCTCTGTTCCGAGATGGATATTTCTTTGGATAATTGGAACGCAAGTTTTCAAAGTGAATTAAATGATACTTTTTGTCAATCTGAAGTAACAAATGAGCCAGCTACGAATGTAGAAAAATTTACCACAGAGAACAAACTTTCCTTACCATTGAAACGAAGTTTTCCAGAAAAAGATTGTATTCAAATAAGTGAAATAAATTCTACAGCATCAGCCTCAAAGTCTAAAATAAACAATAGTTGTAATCTGGAACAAGTGACTTCAGTTAAGGATCAAGCTTATGAAAATAATGATTGTGGTATTATTAAACATACAGGTATGATATCATCAAACAATTTTAGTAGTCCTAATAAGCAACCAAAATTCACAAGTTCACCTAAAGTTTCTACAAAAACATTTACCAATAACATTGAAGAAAGCGATTCCAAATTGAAAAATCATATGCCTGTAAAAACATCTTATTGGGTGTAACAGAATTAAGTACAAAAAATAGATCGGATATTAATAGCAGTTCATCAAAAGATATTAGTCATAAATTTAATAGCACTACTACTGTAGAAACATTTCAATTATGCGTGGATTCTTTAAGCGATAATATTATCAATACTTCAAAATGTAATGTAGGCTTACATCTCGTTAGCAATAATACACAGCAACATCTGTGTTTAGAGAAGGAAGAATTTAGCAAAATTGTAGAATCATCACGTGATCCTGAAGCAGAGAAGAGTGATGTAATCAATCGTGAGTCTGATATTACAGATGATGTACAAAATGTAGATGCACACCACAGCTCATCATTGAATAATGAAAATATTAATGACAAAGAGGAGGACGTGTATTGTACATCAATAAAAACAGATGATTATGATAGGACAATGAAAGCGCATCAAGAGGACGTGATAAACGATTCCGCACAGTTGAATGTAAGGAAAAAGAGCTTAAGTCCGCCTAAAAAATTATCGAGTTTTAAATCGCAGAACAATAGCGAATGCTCTTCTACTGAATGTGCCAAAAAAACTAGTATTTTAGAAACTGATAGACTTATTATATCTAATAATGCCAGTAGTAGTAGTAGTAGTAATAAAGATACAGCTAATGTTCAGTTTGCGTCAGTATTGAAAAAGGATGACGAGATTGTTGGTACAAGCAAAGATGTAAATACATCAAATATCGTCGGATCAGCAAATAATATCGAGGCTAAATCAGCATCCCCGTTTGAGACTCCTCCAAACAGTTGGTCTCCTGAAATTATGGATTCCGGTTACCCGAATTCGGCATCTGTACAAGATATAACACCAGAATATGACTTATCTAGCATAGCTCAGGATCATATACCGGATTCTGAATCGCCGAGCATCGCAGAAGCACCAAGACTCGGCATTTTGGAACCGATTGAGGTGGAAAATGGTGATTTGGCGAACAATAACAGGGATGATGAAGGTAATAACATGATGGCTGTAGATGCCGACGATATCGAAAACTTGCAACCGCTTATCGATGTACTGGAAAACGATCTCGAAAATGAAAACGATATTTATGTAATGCAAAACGGCTTTCCTATATGGCTATTGAGATTATTAGACAATCCGCTTGATTTTGATATACAACCTCAGCAAAATTTAAGAGAGCGCGAAGATGAAGTTGCAGGTAAATGTCTTCTCCTTATCTTTTTGCACTGTTTGCGAAGGAGAAAAATGTATTTCTAAATTTTAATAATTCTTAGAAAATATTTATTATTAATAATAATATATATTAATGATATATTAATAGTAATAAATAGATAAAAAATATTTATAATATTACTAGGTGATGCTGATTACGTGGGTCGTGATGAAGGTTTTGATGGCAATTCTTCTGGGAATGAGAGCGATACCTGAATTGGAAAATGATTACAAGCACAAAGAACAGAAAACTTCTTGCTTGGAACGTGGAAGGAAGAATGTGATGCGTGTGATATAATTAAGATATTAAAATGTAATCGTACATATCATTCTTTGACGTTCCCAACAAAGTCTGCAAAACAGACTTGGAAGGTTCTATACATTGAAGAACATTCTTGCTTACATTTGATATCTGATGAAAAATTTTGCATTTTAGAATAGAATATTTAATATAAAAGTAACAATTTTTTTTATTTAAATACTTAAATCGTATTGATATTCAGCTACCTCTTTAATTTTTAAGATAAATATTTTTTATTTTATGTATACAGGGTGTCCCGGAACACCCTTAACAACGTTCGTGTGGTGATAGAGCGCATCGAGACAAACGAAAAAGTCTTATACCATTTTGCGATATCTTTAATAAAACTTTCTCTCTTTTACTCGCTTGACTTTAACATTAAATGTTTCGGTTATTATTAAAGATATTGCAAAATGGTATAAGACTTTTTCGTTCGTATCGTTGCGCTCTATCATCACACGAACGTTGTTAAGGGTGTTCCGGGACACCCTATATAAAGCGTTATAAAATTATATTTTAAAACTTATGTTTAAGATTTTGTGTTTATAGTAAGGCAAATCTAATTATTAAAAATAGAAACATTTTTTATTTTTTTATATCTCTTATTTAGTATAACTTATAATTTCTATTTTTATATTGTAAATCGAACATTGTGTTTTGTTATTTATCTCTCCCAAATTATAGAACAGATTGCAAGAAGTTTTTCAAATTGTAGCTTTATATCATAAATATATCTTAGCTTCTCTATTTCATAAAAAAGATCAAACATTCTTGTTAACAGTAAAAATTTCAGGAGATTTTGATCTTTTAACATATATACATTTACATATCGACATATACGGTATACATACATATATATATATATATTTTCTTACGATTCTACATTTTCATTAATTGTTTACCGAATGTCAAAAGTTTTCAATGCGGTAGTTTAGATCTTAATGTAATTTATGAAAGTTAAATATGTTAAATTTTGATCAGTGTAACACACATATGTATATATACACATATATATATCTATACATATATACTATATATGTAAATTTGTACGTATATATATATATGTGGTATCTATTTTCACAAATGTGTGATATGTTATGAATATTGAATTATTTTGTGATTATTTAATTACAATTTTCTTAAAACTTCCTAAGACTGAGACTGCATATAATAGTTATGTTTGCGATCGTGCTTTGGGTAAATAAAATCGATATAAAATCTGATAGTAGATATAATGTTCTCGATATATTTTGACCTAATACAGAAAACCATGTACATATTGTATGGCATAAAAGTTATGAACTTCTTAATATTAAATATTTTACATGGAGACGTGCGATATTTTCCTTTATTTCAATAATAATAAAATGAAATTACAGGGTATACAGTGTGTGGTACGTGTGGTGTATGTGTGTATGTAAGATTAGCCTACAACTTTACATAATTCTGTTAATAGACCATTTCGACTGTTTTTTAGTATTTACAGAAATAAAGTCTTTCATTTTTTGAGTGATACAACTGGTTATTTGCTAGAGCAACGTGACCATAAACTTTGCTTGCAATCGTGTACACATTTTTCTTAATTTTAACGCATTTTAACAAATTCTTTTTTTGATCAAAAATTAAACATGAATCGATATTTAAAAGAAATCGAATTGTAACTCAATGGCACAAATAAATATGTTTGTAGAATTATAGACATTTTAATTATATTTCGTTGCGTAACAGTTCCTTTTTTAATTTTTTAAATATGCAATTATACATAAATAAATATATATTATATTTGAGTAAGTGACATGACTTACAAAGTTTGATAGTCAAGAATATACTATAGAGATATATTAGCAAATTTATTGTTAAAACACTTATAATACTACACAAAATTACATATTTGATAGAATTGCGCTTTTAAGTAGTGCCTTAATGCCACAAACTCTATGGCTTTTAATAGTGTTTGTTTCTTGCTATTGATTTTATTAAAACAAAGTGCAAATTGCAACTAAACAAAATTCCGAGTATCTTGCATTTATTGTATATATATATTTTTTACACGCATAATCTATTTTGCTACATTTGTATGATTAATGTCTCATATGAAACTAGAGATAAAATACATACGTTTTGCGTGAGTTTATTCGGTGACAAAAATATATATAAAACTAAAACAGTGAAAAGTTTTAATATCAATTCTAACAAACTAATTGTGAACCAGTAAAAGTATCATAATTATACGTACGTATCATCATCAATTACGTCAGTTAAATTGAAATCATTGCAGAGAGTAGCTGACTTAATAATAAAAACAAATAATGGAAGAAAACGCATTCACACTGTTTTGGAATGTAATATTAATCCGGATAAAATTAATTAACACAAAAAGGAATAATTCTTGATTGCTGTGTTACGCGATATAAATCTTGATTTATATTGTATATTGATATCGCGCATTTGTCGTGTTACTTGAAAGCACTGTATATATACACAGTAGAAGTTTCTACATTTTCTCCCTTTCATACTTAGACTAGTTTCATACAAAACGCGGCATATATTACTTATTTTGTATTTTTTAATATAAATAATTTACCGTATGTTTGTGTACGTAATGTGATTCTTTTTGGCGGTAAATTGTCGATTGTTAGTAACCCGCGTAATAGATGTGTGGTGTTATATATGTAATTTTTCTTTAAATTTTATCAAGCATAGAAAGCTCACGTACTGCTTTACATATGCTAAATAAAAAGAAAATTAATAAACATAAAATACAATAATAATATAAGCGTTTTTATATTCGCAGAGTATTGAAAGAAAAAGATCACAGAAATTAATGTAATTTTGAAGAACAAAAAATGTAACACCAATTTTCAATATATAATTATTAGCGATAAATAGGGCTGCCTGATAAAAAGCACTTTGACGTGTGATATATGGCGGAGAATGATGACAGAGAATTACATCATCGACTTAACAGATCAAGTCATACATTACATGTAACTACGAATATACGTCATGTTCACGTATTTGTGCCTGGCACTCCAAAGTATACGTATTCTTCCTCTTCCACTGGCATTTTGTCTGTGTAGTAAAAGTATTAATGAAAAATTAGCGAATTGAAATCTGAAATATTCATGCGAAGAAAAGAGAAATAAGAATATTAAAATTACGAAATCAATGAAATATCGATGAAATATTTAAAAAAATTTTAATACAGATAAAATGAGCTCATTCGTGCGACTAATATTTTATATAAAAGATATTACATTTTATTATATATATATATAAAATATTTATATATAATATTTATATATTATAATTTATATTATAATATTATAATATTTTAATCTTGTAAAAAAATCGTTTTCTACTTTAAGGAAATGCTTACTGCATCACACAACTTCCTTGAGACTGTCCCGCGCGTCACGACTTCGAGAATGTATCAGGTGATGCAAATCGCCTCCAGGTGCGCTATCGCGTCTCAGATCTCTTAGAGCAGCCGGAGCCAGGACCTCCCTTTTGTTCGCTGCTTCCTTTATGCTGGATAAAGTTTTACTAAGCCACGGCCAGCTGTTTCGCGCAGCTTGCAGCTCAGAGGCAGTAGCATGCAATTGATGCGTCAGATCCTGCATCGCAAACGCGATTTTGTATTAAAGATTCTTGTATCTTGCAAAAAAAAAAAATTAATGTTACGCAAAAAAAAGTCTTGTCACCTGATTCCGACACTCGGCCTCGACATGAGCCAGCTTGGTCTGCGCCAATTCCAATTCTAATTCGCGCACTCTTTCCTGCACTCTGTGAAGCATAGGATCTATTCGATTCTCCAAAGGATGCGCGATATCCGCTAATATATTCGACGAATCCATTATACATGTCCTACATTTGTCACATTTTGAAACCTTCGCCTGAAACATCAGTTGTTTTATTTCTGCACGATATAAACTTTAACGCAAATTGAATCATAGAATTAATTTTGTAACGCACTCGTAATTCGCTCAACGTTGTCTTCGCGGCATTGTAATCGTCTTCCAAACGTTGACAGATCTGAAACAATATAAATATACGTTTCTTGTAGGTTCTATGCAATAATTTCAAATCTAAGTATGTGAAATAAAATAATGTTTGGCAAATACCTGCTTGTATTCGGCTATAATGACGTTGCTTCTACGACTTTCGGCGTCTGCTCGAGCCACCTCACGTTGTAACATCTCTTTAATCTGCAACAATTCCGCCTCCAATCTTTGCTTCTCCTCTTCATTTCTGGCCACTGTACCACGTAATTGCTCCACCTCGTTACTGTATTCATCAGCATTTTCTTGTGCCTCTGTATGACAAATAAACACAATTCTCATTAGAGAAGAGAGTTTTATAATATATATATATATATATATATATATATATATATATATATATATATATATATATATATATATATATAGAGAGAGAGAGAGAGAGAGAGTTTAACATAATATATAGATTATAATTACGCTGATTTTGTTTCTTAATTTTTTATCTCATAATTATAAATTTTCAAAATTATCTTCATGAGAAATCTAATTACGTTTTTTACAATTATTACGTTTTAATTATGCTTTAAACTATATAATTCTATTTTTGCTACAATTTTATATCACTTATAATCTGTTTGTTTGAGATTTCTTAGAAATGTACTTCACATGTATCATAATATTTTTTTCAAATACGCAAATACTTTATCTGATATGCGCAGGTGAATGCAACGCGAAATGATTTTCGAGCACTAGACTTGAATATTACATAAGCACGCTTATTACTTTTACTCTTCATTTGTTCTTTCACTGCACTGCTCATGTTTGCACGACCGATTATTCAAAATGGATAGTGAGAACATAACAGACAGAAACACGATATCTCTCGTTAGCACGAGTAGCTGATTTTACTATATACTGCTGTAGAGAATGCGTTATGGCCAAATTTAAACTGCTGGCGTAGCTGATATTGGATATCTCTTATATCTCCTTGACAAGCAACTGACAATACAATGACAATCGAGATTATTTATCAATACTGTGACTTTTAACATATACTTTAACATACATTGAATAGAATATAAAACTAAAATTATCTGAAAAAAATGTTCTTATAATTTTATTTCTCATATAATTAATTAAAAAATAAGCAAAAATCGTTAAATACAATTAATAATTTGTGAAAAACTTTATAATGTATAAGCTATAATTTCTAAATAGAATGATTCCTATAGATTAATATTTTAAAATCCAATTCAATATACATATTACATATTATATTATAAATAAGCTATCTTTAGCGCACAAGGAAATTCTCGACTGATTATTATCATGAATCATGAATCAGCGAACAGTTATACTACTGCTTATCAGCTTACACTTCAACGATCTGGTATATAGGATCAATATGCACAGATAGATTCGTAACACAATGCTTCTACATATTTTCTATACCATCTCTCTACCATTATGTAATCTTCTTGATTAAAATAAAACATGTTATAAAAACAAGTTATTCTTATGACACCATAAATCATACTCTGTTTTGTTGTTTCCTTATGTTAATTACATAACAATAACAATCTACAATACTGTTGTGAATATATTACGATACTACACTACTTCTATAGATGTGAAAGAGGTATAATTAGTACAGTACAAATACAAGTGTTGAGATAATATAATTTACGTTCATGCATACCCAAATATAGCGAGAAAAAAACATACAAAGATAGTGTGCACAGTCGTTTATTAGATAATCGTTAGGAGCAGGATATCAACGGATAAAATAGGTAATTCACAAAACTAAAATTAGAATATTCTGAGACAATTTATTTTCAATAAAAGCAATAATAAATAATCTATAAATAAAAAGCAATACACAAAGGTCCTATACACAAGCGGTACAGCTGATAAGCATGGGTTTGTTTTAATAATAAACATAATGTCAGTTTCTTTTTTCAGAAATCTCGTAAAAAAATAAATAATACTTAAAAAAAACTAAACT